AAATTGTAGCATCAATGAGTAGGCCCGCTCTCGGAGCAAACTAAACTTTCTACAAGTATACCTACAATTTTATGTCCGGGGCCTCGTCGACTCGGATGTTTATTTTTAAGCCTTTTTCCCACACAGGGCAAAGCTGTCTTTGTAGCTTAGGGCGACTAGTAACAAGTATTCTGTCGTTTGTTGTTCTTCGTGTTAAGAAAAGTGTAATAGAAACAACGCTCGTCGATACCACTTCATGTCGTGCTAAAAAGTATTTCACAACAGAACTTCGACGGTGCAGTAACTTTCCTAAACGATTGTAGAAATATATGTATTGGTACATCATTTGTATAAGAAGTAATTAAGCGATATTTGTCGACTGCACGTTAAAGATGCAAAAGAGTTTGATTTACTAGTAATATTGTTAACTTATAAATCAACAGGCCGAAACAACTTGTAATATCACTACATTAAAGACAGTTTTACCCATAAACACCAATCGTTTATTACTTTCATACTACCATTAGTTAAACCTCGCTATTATTAAATTAGAATTAGTTAAAGAAACGAAATGCAGTCATACATTTCACAAAGCAATATTATTTGTCAATAATTTTAAAAATTAATTTCCTATTTTTCAAACTGGAAGATTTTAAGCAAAGACCCTAAGACAATGCCGTAGTGCTGCGACTCGGCATCACCAAGGTTTTTCCAACACGGAGGCGCGCGTCGAAAAAATCAACTGGATTAATAAAACTGCTGCTATAGACATTACTGCTGTAGCACAATATCTTCGGGCAACACAAATTCTTAGAACCAATTTTGATCATTATTTTAAGCAATTCTGAGAAAGGTGCAAGCTTCGTCATTGACTTATCCGAGTACTGATAGTGCACTTAGAAGATGTTCGTACTCTGTGATAAAGGCCAATGAACATACTTTCTGCTACTAATAGATTACTCATATATTGGTATTGAATCGAAAAATCTTTGGCAGTCTAAACTCAAATCGCCCCACTATGTTCCATACGCTTGTTGTAAGTCCCGCATACCACACGATGTGTGTAAAGATCTAGTATGTACCATGGACTCGTGACACCATATAGATCAGATATATAAGGAATGTGCAAAGCAAGGGTATAAATGGTTCAATATTTTATTTTGTGTTGAAATTCGGCCGAGCACACAGTTGCCATGCCACTATATGCTTCGCGTCGTATGTTTTCCAAAAAGTTGGTTAGAGCCAGTTCGCCGACCACAATGTAGTAAAATTGATCAAAGGTATCCGTCCAACGAGCTCAGTGATGCCTCCAATCATCTTTCAAGCACTTCTGTCGAAAAACCTGTGAGGAACTAGCTGACAGCTGCTTGGGTTCGTACCTTTCTTTTTTTCGGATGTGTCTTTATTTCTCACCTTACTTTGTGCCTAATTTCGTCAGATCTTTCTCGGCATTAGTTGATAGCATGCTTTAACCACCAGGTTTTAACGACTTGTGCTTCTTTTTTTCATAGACCATGGCCGTAATGGTGTCGCCCATTTGTGATACCGACATGTTCTCAGATCTAGCCAGACGTGCATGAACCTAGTACAACGCTGCAGTGGCTGGCTTCGTAGTCGTTCCAATAATGCTTTAGCTACTCGTGCCTCAGCTTTTGGTACATTTATGGATTTGTACATTGGAGTATGGCACCGTTAGCAACTATTTGCTCAGCTATTGGTGTCTTATCAAGCAACTGGCTGATCTATCACAACGTGGATTTTTGTCCATCATTTAGTCATCATAAATAACTATGATTGCCAGTTAGGAACATACAGCGTGCTATATGTGACTCGTAATCTATCGTGAGCGTCACTCATTGGAAGTCGGTTAAGGACATTGGTATTCTTCGACTTTCTCCAATTCCGTCTTTAGTGGTTGTTTTGGTAACAGAAGCTTCTACAATACGTTACATCGAATATGCTCAGATAAGCAGTAATAAAATGATTAACTGAAGTCTAACGTCTAACTGACGCAGTGGCAACCTAGCCGGGCTTGCCAACATGTGTGTCTTTGTTGCAATTGCTATGCAAAGTGTGAGTAATATCGATGTATGATTACCAGGTCACTCCCCAAAAGTCGTATTTTTAGGGTGTGGTTGAAATTGGTTTATCGCCATACTTATATTCTAAGCCAAACAAAACTTTCCACCCGTATATTGTAAATGATCCTTAATGCACCAGAGAGGTAGATAATATTTTGTGAGAAGTACAGCTTTATGCCTGGTTTTAAGGTTTCTAGATTTGCCTTATAATCATAGCGCTACTAAAACCAAATGGAGGTGACTGGGTGGAAGATCAGTGACTATTTTCAGTCAATCTCTCTCAAGTGTTTTCTCAAACAAACCCACCGTACATATCTTGTGAATCGAACCTTATACTGACCTTAAACTGTAAACCACGGCATTAGAAGAAAAGTGTTTGTTATTGTTTCCAAAGTATTGACTTTATCCACCTATTGTAGACTCTTTTTAAGTAACACCATACATAAACAGTGAGTCTCTCTTTCTTATTTGTAAAACCTCACTAAATAAGTACACATTGGATTGACTGACATGATTTGCGCAAGTAGAGTCATTATTTGCGTAGGATTTGCAGAAAAATCGTAGTCTAGAGCGAGTTTATAGCGCTTGTAACTTTCTTCTCACGACAGGTGCATGACATAAGGAATTCTAATATGCGTTTTTACTGTTATCAACAATCGGCATCCCAAAAAGATATGAAAAGATTTCATCTGAATTTCTACAAGAGGTACAAATCATCGTTGTATTTCATCTAGAGTCAGGGCGTTGTAAGATTCTTGTTGCTGTAGTTCCGAGCTTCAGCTGCTTCCCCCTTTCCAAAGGGAATGCTGCACTGAAAACCGTTGCAATTTATCTCATATTGTTAGCCTGGCAAGGAACAGTGGTAACTAGGGCATAGAGAATTTATAATTCATAATGCACTCTGGCCTTTTGTTTCGTTTATTTAAAATGTATGTTTATATCCACCAAAGGCTTTTAACAGCAAACAATCATACAAATGTAACGAATAGGCAGAAAGTGCTCTCTCTGATGTAATCTTGTGGGCATCGTTTTTTGAAACTGAACGGATAATAATAAGTCAGTGGGTTTCTTATTTTCGTGCTATCAGTGTCATCATGGACATGTACCTCTTTGATCTATACACTGTTCTTTACCTTTCCTTTGTGATCACATATTGTTGGGGTAACAAACTCACAATTACAGTTTGGATTTCAATCATTTGAACAGGTTCTCTGGTATATATTTTGTAGAAAAAAAAATAGTATAGGATAACCTGAAGATCCGACCCAACTAGAATATTTAGATATCATAGTCATATTTAGCAAAGAAGCCTGCGTATAGTTTAATGCCGTTCTTTTCTCAAGGTGTTTGAAAGCGATGCGATATATAACTACCAAAGTCTGAAGCGAATTGACAAGTTATCAGAAACTTGAGAGCTTCAAAATTTCAGAACGTACTTTCTATACAAGATTTTTCTATACCGGTTTATACTACCTTTACTGTAAGTTTTTATTAAGCCCTCTGTAAGCTTAAGTAAATTACAAAGAAAAGCCAGCTTTATTTCTTTACCCAATGGTTGTAAGTGATTACTACACTGCTGATTTTGCAAGTAATACGGGCGTCATCACATAACATCGTGTATGCCTTAGATATTTAAGCATGAGGAGAGGAAAGCCAGGGGCACAATATCTAGCAATTTCTCAGATATAAAAGATATCACCCCACATAGGGTAATACAAACTCACTGCTGAGGTTCTTAAAATTTCCGTGTCAAATACCAAAAAAACGTAACATTTTCTTTTTTCAAAGAGTAATTCAAAATACTTTGCACTAATCATATGCCAATATGCATCCCAAAGTGTGCCTCAATGATATGCAATAAACCGACTTTTTGCTTTGCTTTTCTCTAGTAGTGCCATTATTTTTATATAATAGACTTATTTACAGGTGTTAGCATATTTATAACCGCTAAATATAGGTTCTATGATTGACCTTGTATTTCATGTATCACGGTTAATTAACTAAAGTATCACTGTTCACATCTTTTAATCAAAATTTTTTCCCAACTGCAATTCGTTAGTGCTGTCTATATGTTATCAAGTGTGATCTCCATATTTACGAATGTATATTCAAGCGAGTAAGTAGGTGTACACTTATACGTTTACATTATAAAGCTATACATATATTATAATATTATAGGCTTTATATTATAAAGCTAATGCATTAATATCGTAAGAACAGCTCATAGTTGTCATATATTGAGAAATATAAATTTTATGTCATGAATTCTCGATAGATACAAGGCAGCGGACGTTGACTAACACATTGAACTATTTACTGAAAACATACATGATCATAACATACTGAAAGCTACATGATAGATACTGAAATCGGTTCTTTTTTGAAGTATTTGAATCGGAGCGAGTACTATTGGGTATCTGAATATTTCTCCAAAAAATCATTGTATAAACATGGCTTCCTATCAAATAGGTAGACACATTTTATAACAAAAAAAGACTAATTGAAGTTGAATTGAAGTATCTTTGTTGACTACGGAGCGTTTTTCGTTCGTTCAGTATCCTTTTCCCTACTTTCACCGTTTGGCAACAGCAGGTACTACGCTAGTCATTTTTCGTATAATTTTTCTACTAGCTGTGCTTCTATTGTACAATATATCAAGTGGTGTATTATTTTGGCCATCGTTCATAAGACTATAACAAGAATTTAGACCAACAAAATGAGGGGAAGGCAATAATTAAATTACTGATCGACTTTTTTCTATGCCTATTCCTTCAGCTTTGTACTGCTCGATTTTTCGAGGCAGAAAATAAAGAAGTAACGATTAGCAACTGAACAGTATAACAAACAGAAGTCGCTTGTTGCTTCTGTCTTGGTAATGTCTATTCAGATGCAAGACCTGATGCACAATTAAAGGAAGTCTCTTTAATGCAAAGAACTTACAACGTGGGTCAGGATCTGTGACGGAATCGAGGAAATCTTGCGGTGTCATATAAAGTTGGCCATCGTACTCGACAGAAGCGAATCTCATAAATCGTTTTTCTCGTGGCGTTAGCTGAAGCTCTTCTGCCGCTGCGTGGTCTGTCGAGGAGTCATACTGAAAATGTGGTATGAAATGGAAAAGTTGTAATTTGTAGTACATTCAGAACTTATACACACATGAGATGCAAATAATACATAAGGTACATAGGTTTGAATACTTACTTAAGTAATACATAAGATTTAAATACTTGATCCAATGATTCAGTAGGGCTGAGTAAATTTAGTTATAACTCTCTTTCAGCACCTGTATCTAACTTTAAAGACCTCGAAGACGAGGATATGAATATTCAGATCCTAAATTCCGCTTGATGCTAGTAAAACGATGATAAATGGGTTTAGGCTGTTTCCTCTAAATGACTCACAATTTTTGCTTCTCCCGAAATGTTTTTATGATTTTGCTGTTTATAATGCTTTTTTTTACTCTTATTCCAGGTGAAGCATATAATGAAAGCAGAAACAATATCTCCTAAACATTTAACCTAGGTATGTCACAGTGAATTGGGGTGTCGTTTTGCAAACTTTTCATAGCTTAACTCCTGAATCAGAGTAAAATAAAGAAACCTAAAAGAACTTTGTTACGAATTCATTCTAGCGACTATTACCGTATTAGAAATAATATCGAAGCCGTCGTTTTATACAACAACCTACTCTACAACAAGCAGTTAAAAACTGATGGACATTCATATTAGTAGGAAAAGTTGTTGGCGGGTACGGTATTAGCTTCGCCTGTTTGTATCTCAGTAACAACTGTCATATGAGTGTGCGCATTGGTCTGGATAGTGCTCGATAAAAACGCTAAGATAATAATTTATATTATTATTTATATAAGCGCCTATGTTGTTGTATTAAAACATACTAATCGCAAGTTCACGATAATGAATGGCTAATATAACGGTAGATTACTGTTTATACTAAGCCGTATGACGTTTACTAAAGTTACCCTGTGACCATCGCCCTTCTCTCGTTAGTGCATATTTGATAGCCATGAGTTTGTACCTGGCGGAAGTGACCGATGTATATGGAACAAATGCACGTTTACAGTAACTTCTTTTTAAAAAAATTACTGAACCGGTCTCATCAAAAGAAAGTTGCGAACACACTACGATGGTACTCTATCCGATTTCGCCTGCGGGCTTCGTCCCATGGTTACCAATCTAAGAGGTTTGAAAGTTACCCGCGGATGTAGCAGAGTAGACTGTGGAACTCTGTATTAGAAAACTACCAAAGTAATAAAAACATCTGTAAATGACGCATAATGTGATAATTATGATACATACATACAAACACGTTTGTTCTAATTTAAAACAGCTTCTCTTTCAAATTTCAACTTATCTTGCTTTCTGCTGAGACCCATTTTTCCATCCCCCTGTGCGTGCCAAAATTATGACACCTACCGAACACATGTGTGTATATCTGTTTTCTTGTAGTGCTATTTCTCTATTTATTTTTTCATTTTAAAATACACTTTATAATTTATGGATCAACAATAAAAAAATAAGTGCAATAAGTTTATTCAAAAACACGATACCTTATAGATGCAGTAAGGCCGGCGCGTTAGAGCCATCAAAATTTAGATTTGGATCTTTGCTGCGGCTCATTTCAATGATTAGGGTGGAAATCATCCGAGTAAGAGCTTTCAATTTTTAATCATCATATTGGATCTCAATAATCCAGAGTAGAGATAGAGAGTTTTTATACCTGCTGGAGTGTTATTGTGCTAAGTAAACATTAATTAAATAAGTGTACAGGATTATTTATCATACTTTACAAATTTGATATATTAAATTAAGACGATAAAATTAAGATAAATAACTATTGGCCTAAGGGAAAGTGTCAAAGGTCCAGAGTTATCAGAAATTATTTTCTGTAGTAAAATACGATAAATTGCACGATAAATTTCAAGCCTATTAAATTTGAATTCTATAGAAGATAATTTTACCTTACTTTATTGATGGCAATAGCATAGATCGTGTATAAGTGTATATTCTTGGTGGGCCCAAAATTTGTCAGAATTTAGACTCTGGTCCGTCAGCACAGATCAGAGATCGTATGATTTCGGGTAGAATAAAATCTACTTCATTTTAATTTGATGTTTTAAGAAAGGTTCTTTTACATTTTAATTATGACGCAGAAATACTAAAAAAAATGAAAAAAACACAAAGAAGTTCTCAGTATTTCATGTTTTTTAGGACAGTAACTTTGAATGTGAGACACGAAATTATTTATATATTTGGATATTGCATCTTATGATAGATATAATTATAACCACGTAAGTTTGGTGCTATTGAACATAAGATAGTCGTATTTATCAAAGCCCCACGTGGACAGCTGTGCTAAAAGCTGTTTACGATCTATAGACACTGGCTGAAAACGTAAGTGCCCAATAGATCTGCAGTTTTATTGAGCAATGATTTTAATATATGAAAATTCAAAGTCTCTTAGTTGCGTCTTCATTTGCCCGTTCTCTAGTACAGGACACAAAATGACTACGGCAGAATCAAATTCATGTTATTATTATATGATATAAAAACATGCTATGCCTCAAAAGATTAATTGATTGTTTTTGCTAAAATTGTATATGTACATAGCTCTTTTTCAAAGGCTATAATTATAATGCACCATGATAATGTAACCACAAGTTCATTCGAAGAAAAACGTAAATCTACCTTATAATTAGGCCATTTGACGATGGTTTAGGAGATAATTTCATTTAGTTAGGCTTATTCGTCGTTTTCATTTTTGTTCTTTGCCATTGTCCAGATCTAAACTGTAATTGACGGCTGTTACTAAAATAAGATGAAGTTACACTGAATAAGCGAAACTAGGTATTTGAATAGCATGCATATAACTTTTTCGGCTTCCTTTGGGCTTCTGTCTTTCCGGCCTTCCCACCGTTTCGTCTGCCCGTCCCTTTTTTTAGTCTATTCAACTACGACTAACTGTCCTTTCTTTGTTAAGGTCTCACATATTTAAGACCGAGTAGCCTCGCCGGTGCTAGTTAGCATGAGTGCGCTACCGGCGCCAATCTAAGTAGGAATCAGCAAGTGGTAAGTAGTGAACATATTGCAATGAAACTTACTGTTAGTTAATTATTGATTAAGTTTAAGGTGTCTCTAATGGGACATTGTTGCGTTTTGTTCGCCTAAGGCCCCGATTATGGCACTATTCCTTTACTACGGATAACGCAGTATAAAAATGCATTGGTACAGATCTTAGTTCAGTGTTAGCATTTATACGTATACGTAGTAGATGAAGTGCTTATTTTGTTCAATTATAGTTCAACAGAGTCCAATAAAGATGTAGTTCGCCCACATAGTCTTTTTTTCAAATTTGCTATGCACACTCTAAAAGCCGGAAATGTATTGCGCTTGGCGTTTAGAAACGCAAAGCGCAGCAAATTTCGGACTCATGTGCGCCCCAGAAATGTCCGCTTTTACTAGATCCATCCAAAAGCTAATTGTTTTTAAAAGAATGAAGGCATTTGATTGTGCAAATAAAAAGCTCATTAGTAAACCTTTTTTTTGTTTAAATAACAGCCATCAAACCTAACGACTTCTATTTAATTAATAGCGAACAAGTGATAGAAGGTTCGAATAGGGTCAGAATGAATACAAAGCTCTGCAGGGTGCTATTATGGAATCCACAATCTTTGCCATGCGTATGAATTGTTTTCATGAATTCTGTACCGGCATTTAAATAATCCTTACCCTTATATATATATATATATATATTAAAAATCCTTAAAGAGGGATACACTGAGAGAACAACATTAAAAAAAGAAATTTACAAAATTTGTTATTGATTGAAAATGAGCAATCTCTGCTTCAAGACAGGCTAGGCTAAAGCATTTGGAGTTTAGCTGAAACAGAAAAAGGAGAAAGAATTAGGTGTGAGGTGACGCGCAAATGTTGAGAGATGAGTTGAGATTCTTACGAAGCCAGTAGAGAACCTGTCAGGTATTGATGACAGCATCAGGATTCATAAACAATTATACTGCTTGATCGTACTATTGAGTTGCTCAATAAAAAGTGCTGTGACTTTTCGTACGCGACAAAAAGTCAATGCAAACACTTGTATCTGATACGTCAAGCTAATCTTTAAATATGTACGTATAGAAAATGTCCATAAAAAGTTAAAGTTAGATTGAACGTTACTGTAAATAAAAAAACATATCGTCAACCGACTTGTGACTAAGATCTACTACTTGCTAGCATAATCATAATTCTCATGTAATTTATTTTTATTCTAGCTACTTGTGGGATTGGAACGTAGCTCTTCATTACTTCGGAGAAAAAGGCTTCATGAGGTATGTTTACTGTGGCATACATTATTTTTATAATAAATGTATAAGCCCTGTTTATGGCTACCGGACTAGGTTTTTACAACAGTAACGTGGGATTTTTGTCAATATTTTTGAAAAGCCATTAAATTCACTCATCTCTCTGTCCCTGGATCGGTTTTAATACTATCTCTACTTCAGAAAAAACCCACTTTTTCGTTCAACTCAAGCCTAGCGGAAGCTCTGCTTTCTTTGCACGAAGCTTGCCCATATTTTGCCTACCCCTATAGCTCTCTAAGCTTCATGACCTTTATCGCGTATTCGGATATTGCAGTCTTTCTTTCTTCACCCTGAAGTACCGGGTTTACTGCAATGCCGGGCTCAAATGGGTTTTTTTCTAAGTCCTGCTGTCTTCTTCTTTAAGGGCATACAATGCTAAAGTCACATTACTAAAGACTAAAAGGGTCACATCATTGTATACGGTACTGTTCCTGGTTATTTACGAGTCACTTGGCCCATTTTGCTATTCTATAAAAGTACGCTTGGAAACGTCCGAGTTCGGTGAGAGTTCGGGTCAGGTAAATGTGTCAGTTTCCCAAAGTTCCCTTCACACTACTCTCTGATTTCTCGCGTAAATCTGCCGGTCTAAGCAACGATTTTTGTTATACTCTTCCACTTTTTCTAAAACGTTTTGAGAGTGTTTCTTTTAGCTTTCTCTCATTTGATGCTTATACATTTCTTCCGGAAGTTTCATGATGCTGTTGTACTCACAAACC